ATGCTGCTTGGCCTGCTGTGTTCATCCAGCCCTGCACCTTGTTGTCTAACATTGGATTGGGGCTTGTTTTCCTTTCCTGCAGTTTGGGCACTAATGCCAATTCCTGTTTGAACGAACTCCTCAGTTACCTAAAGTAGTCTGTGCCCATATGTAGTAATTCCTGCACAACATTCAGGCTTGAGCTATTTAATGGTAAGTACCATGTTGTAGCACATAAGTTCCAATTAAAGGCCAATTCCAACATGGAGCAGGATTTCCTGCCCTGCTGCCTCAAACATCATCATGTAACCGGTTCCCGTACTACAGGCTATCCTGCAGGCATAATTGACTAGGTACGGACTCCCATCTCCTCTGGGGAACAAGCACTGCTTCTGAAAGTCTCTGATGAAGAGCAGCCAAGAGCCAGATTGCTGAAAAGTTGGCGGGCAAGATTCTTGGCTGGATGTTGCATGAACCGGAATTTAGGTCACCCTGAAACAGGGAGGGGGTGGTCTCTGGTCAAAAAGGGATGCGTATGAAAGAGGTGATTCCATCCCTTGCCCACCTGAGGCACCAGCAATAAGGTTGCAATGTTCTATGTAGCAAAAATTATCTGGAACTTCAAAGATGTAACCTGATTTTTGGAAAGGAGAAGCATTTAGCAACACAAGTAAGTTTCTTAGTTTGAAACCAGCTCAGTCTTCAGAGTTTTCTCTGAATAGGTACCAGTAGCAGTTAGGCATACCACTGTTTCTATTTAGTGAATAATCTCTGTAATGTGGTGGAATAACGTGGAATAATCTCTGTAATGATGGGGAGGTGATGGACCTAGTGGTATTATCGCTGGACTGTTCTGGTAATGTTCTGGGGTCTTGGGTTTGAATCCCACCATGGCAGATGTTGGAATTTGCATTCAATCATTATCTGGAATTAAGAGTCTAATGATGACGATGAATCTATTGCTGATGGTCGGAAAAACCCATCTGGTTCACTAATGGCCTTTAGGGAAGGAAACTGCCACCCTTACCCGGTCTGGTCTACATGTGACTCCAGACCCATAGCAATGTGGTTGACTCTTAACTGTCCTCTGGGCAGTTAGGGATGGGCAATAAGTGCTGGCCTAATCAGTGATTCCCTCATCCCATGAATGAATTTAAAAAAAGACATAGTTTAACCCCTGAAGTGCAATGGACAGTATGCTAATAGAAATTCTGCTTAGGACCTTGTGAAGTAATTCAGAATGTAATTAGAGTTGGGAACCTCCACCACTGACCATTCGAAGCAGAGTCTTTGTACATTTTTAAGACAAAAAAAAGATTCTAGTTGAGCAAGGGAATGAAAGGTTATTGTAGGTATGTGGGAATATAGAGTTAAATTTACAATCATACCACCCATGATCTTGTTGAATGGCAGCAGGATCGTAAGGCCACCTGGCTTCACCTGTTACTAGTACACATTCATATTATCACAAATGGAGTAAAAATCCATTTTTAACATATATTTATGTTTAGTGACTGTTTACAAAATACATGAAGCAGCACAACAAGGATGACTGCCATATTTAGATGATTGGACTTAGCAATAACCTTCCAGAAACTTCTCGGAAATCAACATGAGTCAAACAGTCAATACTTTGTGTGCCTCCTGATGGCTCTGGAATACAAACAATTGCATTCTGACCTGCCACAGAGATGATTGTCTCCAAGGTAAAAACATCTTGTGCATTAGAATTGCAAGGTACATCCATCCTACAAGGAGATGTGTGAATGACATTTCACGTAACTCTGGGATTGGCCGTAGACTATTTGCAATGCAGGCCTTTGTCCCAATACTAATTGGTTCTCCCCATCAAGGAGACCTGATTCTATGTCTTCCACAGTCCTGTCAAAGTCACTTGACAGAATGTTTCATTGCCAGAACTTCCCAACAAGCAACAAGCCATAGCTTGGTTGGTGGTGAGAAGGGCACTGCCTGTCAGATCTTTCATCCACAAAGTGGCTGTGGGGGAGTGGGGGAAGAGACTGTCACATATCTCCTTATGGAACATGCCTTTACTGGGGAGAAATGTAGTGGTTTTTCTCAAAGTTTGTCCTGAGCAGCTCTGTGACACAGGACTCTGTGCCGCACAGCTGTTCCCTGGGAGATACACCAGACAAATATTGACTGTGCTTGGAAGACCAACCACTTGTTGAAAGATGCTGTTTAGTCTGCCTGAAACTTGTTGATCTCTCAATGTACAGAGTTGACCTCAACTGAGTGTTGCAGACTGGCACATTTCCAAGGTCCAGGATAATGTGTTGACAGATGCACAAAAGCCTGGGGAAGATGCCTCCAAGGCGTAGTGGAAAAAGACCACTGTCTAAGGTCTTTTAGCCAAAATATAATAACAAGGGTCAGTTCAGTTGTCAGATCTTTTTGTTGCTTCAGTGTATGTAAATAGCATCCCACATGTGTAGGAAATGTTTTGATATTTGCAACTGCAGGGAATGTCACATTCAAATGTTTTTTTCTTGATGTGCATAGACTGTACATAACTGCTTTAGCACTTGTGAATGTACATAAAGATAATTTTTTCATGAATGAAGTATATCTTTGCCGTTAAAAATGTCTCGCACAGTACAGATTCCAGTTGCCTTTTTAACCATATAGTTTTGAAATTGCTGTTAGTTTAGGGGTCAGTGCTGCTCCATAAAACACCGATTAACAATACCAAGACCCCTAACTCCAGGCTTCAAAGGAAAAGCTGCCTATAGAAAGCAGCCAACAATCTCTGCAAGTAAAACTTTCTTTTGACTAAACAATGAAGTAAAAGTTACATTTCAGCAAATCTTGTTCAGAAGACGTTTGAAAAGATTTTTAAAGCAAACAAATGACCTACAACTCCTTAACTGCTAGCTAACTAATCAGCCAGGCACAGAGAGGATTTCCAGACTACTATCTCCAGTTTTGAACTTTCAAACTTCACTTTAAAAGCAATGACATCGTTAAACTGGTACGCATTGGTTGTTTTGCACTTAAATTGTTAGTAATTGAGTGATCTCTTTATCCTCTGTGATTCTTTCTTGCCCATTACGTTTCTATATGTGCCATTGTGGTGAAGCATTCCCTTGCATCTAAGACTGTGTGAAATAAATTATACTTCTGATTTAACTTTGCCACAATGTTCTGGCAGTCCTCACTAAAGCAGAGTCCACCAAGAGATAGAGTGAGAAAATCACTATTTAAAATAAAAAAGGGAAAAATTAAATCACAGACTAATAACACTCAAGTGGTGAGGTTAGAGAGAGAGGAGGAGCGTTGTTTTTAAACTTGTTATCGCTCTGTAACAATAACATGCTTGTATGTTCATGGAAATTTGGGGCAATAATGTGCAACTGCACAGAACAAAATTGCAGGTAGAAATTCGGATTGGCAAAATATATTCATTCTTTATTCCTGCATGTGCTGTTGTTACACAAATCACTTGTTGAATTAATGCACGCATCAATTTTTTTAAACTGCTTTGGTGAATTAACTGAATGTGGCATTAGAAAGCAGAAACAAGTCAGTATTTTTCTTAGAGATAGTAAGAACTGCCGATGCTGGAGTCAGCGATAACACAGTGTGGAGCTGGAGGAACGCAGCAGGCCAGGCAGCATCAGAGAAGCAGGAAAGCTGACGTTTCTGGTCAGGACCCTTCAGAAATAGGGGGGGGGGAACGGGGCTCTGAAATAAATAGAGCGAGGAGGGCTGGAACTGGGGAAGGTAGGTGGGATGGTGATAGGTGAGTACAGGTAAGCAGTGGTGGGGATTGGTCAGTGAGTTGGGAGGAACGGATAGGTGGGAGAGAAGACAGACAGGTCAAGAAGGCGGGGATGAGAGGGGTTGGGGAAGGTAGGTGGGGTGGTGTTAGGTGAGTGCAGGTAGGCAGTGGTAGGGATTGGTCAGTGAGGTGGGAGGAGTATTTTTCTTGATGTCCAGTTGGTTTTGTTTGTCACTTTAAGGTTATGTTCTCTATGAC